ACTCATAGCGACCCCTCCTTGGGTTTCCGAGGCAGTATCACTACGGAAGTAGGATTGCCCAACCTCAGATTTCTGGCTTCCTAAACTATAAGAGAATAAATCCCTGTTTGTTAAAGTCATCCACTTGTGGAATTTCTGTTATAGCAGCACTAGAGAACCAATACATGGGGAGTCTTGCGCCAAACAGTGACTTGGTCCAGTATATGTATTAAAAGAATGAAACTGACGGCTATGTTGAGAATGGAGTGGAGATGGGCAAGGCAGGGGAAGCAAGGAGTTGGATCATGATTAGGCTGCTATGGCAGGATCTCAGGCTAGTAACAGTGGTGGCTTGGATCAGGGTGATCACAGTGGATATGAAGCACAGTCAGTGTCTGCCATATTTTGAATCTTGAACAGACATGATTTGGTAATACCATGAGAGGGAGCGAGGAGTTAAGGATGAATCCAAAGTTTTTGCCTTGAGCAGCTGGAGAGGGATACCTCTAACTAAGATGAAGAAATGCAGTTTGGGAAGGAATAGGAGGCACTCATGTTGTAACTTGTTAAGTGTGAGATAGTTCCTAGGCACCCAAATGAAATGTTGAGGTGGCAGTGAGATATAGGAGTTGAGCAGAATGAGCAGTCTGGGTTAGAAACACAAGCTTCGGGGTCTATTTAAAACCACAAGACTGGATGAAATTACTGAGGGAGTGAATAGAGAGAAAGAAACAGGAGATACAAGGACAGAAGTCAGAGAACCCTACAAGTTAAGGGATCAGAGACATAAGAAAGCAAAAAGGAGATTGAGAAGGAGCGGCCAGTGAAAGACAAGGAATGATTAGAAGAGTCTGGAGGTCAAGTGCAGGCATGTGAGCAGGGCTTTTATGGCTGAATAGGAGTTTTCTAGGCCAGTGGTCCTCAAAAGTGTGGTCTTCAGACCAGCAAGGTCACCTGAAAACTTGTTAGAAATGTATAGAATCTTGAACCCCACCCAGAAATTTATCAGAAACTCTCAGAGAGGTGTAACAATCTGTGTTTAAACAAGTCCTCCAGGGCATTGTGATGCATCCAGAAAGTGTGAGAACCACGGCCCTAGGCGTGTAACACTGCCTGCACAAAATTATCAGGAAGATCGAGGGAAAAGAAACTAGCAAACTTTCTTAACTGGAAGAGAATATAGTTGAAGATCTATTTAGTGTTCAGAACAAACTTGTAGCAAAAAACAAAAACAAAAACAAAAACAAAAAACCGGTAGCTCTGAAGCAACCCCCTCTCCACCACCATCTCCATTCCCATCTCCTAGTTTAGAACCTTCTACTAATTTAGCACGGCTCTTTGGAGAAGAGGAATGCCCCTGTTTCTCCGGACGTTGGGAATGCTGAGCACCAGGCATGCCAGACATTCCACTAGCTAAAAAATAGGGTTGGTGCTCCTGGTATTTCAGGGTTAGCATTACGGGGCTTTAACCGCTGAAACTTCTGAGACATAAAACATATTCCACCCAACAGTTTTCAAAATTTCCTCTAGACTCTCCTAGGAGAATTCCATCCCCTTCCACCGGGGAGAAGTTAAAATTAGGGCCAGTCCTGCGGGACTGAGGCGCCAGATGCGGGAAGGCTGTCCCCAGAAATAAGCTGGTTCCCACTGCGGATGGGCGGGGCAGGCGCCTCCAGTCCCAGCCCAGCGGAGGGGCTCCTGGAAGGCCTGCCCCTTGCAAGAGTCTCTAAGGGGTCTGGCCCCAAGCTTTAAAATCCTGAGCGAAGGCGCTGCATCCCGACCTTTCCTTTCCCACTCAGCGGTGGCTTGGCCTTTCGGAAGCGTGCGGGTCTCCTGCCTTCCAGCCCCATCCCTGCCGGACTAGCGGCGCAGTCGGCGGGCTTCGCTTGTGGCGCGATCTGACTGCCGCTCCAACCGCTGCCGCCGCGGCGCTCTTCAGAAACCACCAACTTTCCGCGCAGCTCTAACCGCCTCGCAAAGTTGGGCAGCGCCAAGTGCATGCTTTGCTCAAACTTCTCCCTCCCCAAGTCCCAGGGGTCCCCGTCTCCCACGCTCCCTTTCACCGGGCGCAGCTGGTCCTAGAGGGCTGTCAGCGCCACCCTTTTGCAGTCTTCACTGAAGCACAACCATGCTGTTAACTGGCGTTCTCTTTCTGTTGCAAGGTAAGGTCTGGGCTTCGGTGACCTCCTCCCCGCCCCCGGCCCGGAGGGCGCTCTCGTGACTCGCTCCGGCTCGGCTGCCCTGGCTGTCGGACTTGCTGTCCTAGGCTGGGCGATCCCAGCACGCCTCCCGACCCTTCTCCACAGCAGCTAACCTCCCTCCCCAAGCTAAGCCTGGCCTTGTGCTGAGGCAGCGCCGGGGTTCAGAGGGCATCGCATCTTCCTCCTTTCCCCCATTCCTTCCCCTCTTTCCCTAGGTAGTCCCCCCCAGGGCGCCCCAAATTGGTGCAACACTCCCAGGCCAAAAGCCAAACTGAAACTCGCTTTGTGCCCGCAGCCCTTCAGCTTGCAGGAGCCCTGGACCTGCCTGCTGGGTCCTGTGCCTTTGAAGAGAACACTTGCGGCTTTGACTCGGTGTTTGCGTTCCTGCCATGGATTTTAAATGAGGAAGGTAAGGTGGCTCCGTGGAGAGAGCGCTAACTGAACTTTCTTGCTGGTTGGCTTTTTCACATGGGTCTTGTTATCTGGGAGTTAAATCCCCTGTGAAGGAAAAGTATGAGTCACCGCTGATCCTCCAAATCCTCCAACCCTCAGCTGGGCTGCAAGGAATAGCCCAAGGAAGACAGGGGAGGCCATCCTTTGCTTACCTGTGGGTGGACATCTGAGAGATTGCACCTCACCTCAGCACTCCTTAATGCCAAAGAAAAAGGGGGCACAGCAAATGATTGTCACCCACTGGCTGTGTGCCCCCTTGCAGACCATCACCCTCTCTGGACCTCAGTAGACATATCTGTGAGCTGCAAAGGTGTTGTGGAACATGTGCCCTTCTGGTTTTGCAGACTTGGCTTCCTAATTCTGTGCTGGGATCCTGGGACTAACACCTCACAGGCACGTTTGCCTCCCAATGTTTTTGGTTATCCTCAGGCTCCTATTGTAGTGTTTATAATCCAGCACTTGACAAAAGAGGAAACCAAGTGCTTGACCTTGTGCCTGGGTCTCTCAGCTGGTGAGTGGCACTCACTGTTTCACTGTTCCAAACAGCGTGGGTTCTGGGGACAAAGTTTAGATGTGTGGTCTTCAGAAGTGTCTTTTTACTCTTCATTTATATAGTGAAAGCTAAGTTAGTCCTTCTGCCCGACAGCAGGCATGGGGTGTCCTGTCTCTTTTCCTTTCTCTCGCTTGTGTCATCACCATTTAGAAACCTGGTGCCCCAGGCCATTCAGACTAGAAAATAGCCTCCTTTTAAAAACAGGGCACCATAAACAAGATCAGCTAACCCCTTTCCCCATTCAGTAGTCCCCACACCCCCAAATCATCGAATCCATGTCCCTGGAGAAGGGTAGAGCCCCAGAATCCATGGTTAGGATGGATGAATTGTCACAGCAGCTTCCTCTCTCAGGGCTTCTGTTTGGGGCTTTGCACACATTAGCTAATCTGACCTCACAGGGAGATGACGTTAGCATCATTTTACCACAAGGACTCCCATTCTTAGAATATTCAAATGAGTTGTTCACGTCACATTGTGTTGCTGAGTGGCCAACTCTGAGCAGTCTAGCCAGGAGAAGAAGGGGGAAATTAGTTCAGTAGTGATCTTTATCTCCAACAATTGCCAAGTCTTGACTACTAAAGTTTGTTTAGAGATGGCTGGGAAAAAGCACTTCTAATTTAGTATTGGAATACAGCCTTACTGGTCGCCTTCTTTAACCTTACCAACTCACTCTTGGCATAGGAGGGCCATGTGTGAAGCATTCTGAGAAATGGTTGTAGCACCATGGCACTGGCTTTTGACAGCATTATTCTCTAGTTCAGTGCTTCTTAACTTTTGATGCATCAGAATCACTTGGTAGGCTCCTTAAAACACTGATTTCCAGGCCTCACTCCTGCATATTTTTGATTCATTGGATCTGGAGTAGGGATTGAGAATCTGCATCTTAACAAGTTTGCAAGTGATGTTGTTGCTGATGCTGCGGGCCCAAGGACCATACTTTGAGAACCTTGGACTTAGCATTCCAACCTGTCCTCCATACAATGTGTTTTACACACACACACACACACACATATACACAAACACCTGTGCTGTTGGCTGTGAGCAGGACTGAGACTAGGTGAATGAGCTAAAGGAAAGTGAATGCCTCCCTAAATTTTGTGCCTAGGACACCTTGCTAGCCTTACCTGGCCCTGAACAAAGAAATCAGTATTACCCCTTAAACCAGGAACCTTGTCCAATGAGCACCTATCGCCTCTCTGTCAGGATCGTGGTCCCCTCACAGTGCACCTCTGGGTCAGTGGGCAAGCCACAGCCTGCTGAGCACACTGCCTCTCAGAACCACAGGAAGTGTTCTCCGCTGAGTTGGCACCATAGCACCAGAGCAGCAGTTAAGTGGGCCGCCCTCAGGGAGAACAGGAAGATGCTTATGGGAAAAGGTGATCACAGTTTACTAGTATAATGACAGCACTGTTCCTTTCCTTTTTGCTTTCATTCTGACTTCTAACAACCACTGCTTTCTGCCTCAGAGCTGGGACTACTGGCTTGGCTGTGGGGAGGTAATTCATTCTCCTCTGAGCACTCAGGTCAATGCTGCAGGGCAGTTAGTGTTCAGTCATTACAGATCTAGGGTTTCAAAGGCCGGAACTTGGACCTAACAGTCCGCTCTGCAAGGGCAGTGAGGTAGATGTGTGCCAGCTGCTGCAGTGGACTGCTAAGAAGCCATCACTAAACATTTCCATTATAAATCAGTTCTAATTTGGTAAGTTACAGATAGTAAAATTGTCCTGGGCTGAAATTTAGCAAGTTGTCCACAAGCTTCACTGCAAATGCACTTTACTTTGTTCTAGAGATTCTTAGAAACTGGTTCTGTCCACTTCTGTCTATTGGATGCACCATGGAAAGTTGTGAATTTCAGATACTTCTGCCCATAATTATTTGAAACCAAAATGGCACTTTCTATATGTCCTTGGTTAGTAGGTTAATTTACAGTGGTGAGAACAATGCTAATGCCCAGGGAAGGAATTTAAGGAGGGAAATGAATCTTCAAATTAGAATGTGATGACGGTAGAATTAACTCTGGGATAGTCGCAAAAATCCCCTTATCTCAGAATATCTCCCCAGCTGCCCAAAATTGTATTTGAGGTCCATCCCTTTGGTTTATTTAGAGTATTAGGTCTCCAAGCATCTCAGATTACAATTCCAATGTCCCTAGTTCATGGCCATTAAGTGCCTTCTAAAATATGTTTGATATGTACTAGGCAGAGAAGACGTACATTTTGACTGGGCAGTGGATTGTCATGGGTCATAGACCACAATGCAAGACACCTGCAAGGAAAGGTTGTTGCTACCAGTGACAGGGCTGCACTTCAACTTTGCCCACTTTCTAGCCCTATCTACAGTTACCTTGTTTCACTGAATTCCTTCGGTACTTTTCTTTTTTAAAAAATATTTTATTGTGCTTTTGGAGAAAGTTTACATAGCAAATTAGGTCTCACTTTACAATTACTATGCAAATTGTTTAGGAGTTCTGGTAGCATAGTGCGTAAGGCACTTGACTGCTACCCAGAAGGCTGGTGGTTCAAACCCACCAGCCACTCCTCGGAAGGAAGAGGGGCAATCTACTTCCATAGTGATACTGCCTTGGAAACCCAAGGAGGGGTCACTATGAGTTGGGTCCGACTTGACAGCACATAACAACAACAACATGCAAATTGTTCAGTGACACTGGTTACAACTTCTCTATGTTTTTGGTAGAATATTCTTATTTTCTCTATTTCTTAAGGGAAGTGAGATTTTGTCAGACTAAAGTTTGAACTCACTTGTAAATTTTAGGTTTGAATTAAATCTAGAAAAGGAGGGATCTATTTTATCCTATACCAAATCTTCTCTATTTATTCATTTAACCTATTTACCCACTAAACTACTGCCATGGAGTCGATTCCTACTCACAGCAACCCCTACTGGGTTTCCAAGGTGGTAAATCTTTACTGAAATAGATTGCCCCATTTTCCTTCTGCGGAGTGGCTGGTGGGTTTGAACTGCCAGCCTTCTGGCTAGCAGTCGTATGCTTTAGGCACTGTGCCACTAGAGCTCCTTTCTAACCTATTTAAGAAAAACAAAAAACCTTCTTTGTTCATTCACTGTTTACAGAATATTGGAACCCCTTTGAATAATGGCTCCAACTGAAATCCATTGCTGCACTGAATGTTGGTTGGTTCCATTTCCCCACCTGTGTGGGAGTGGAAGCCCTTCAGCTGAGGATTCTTGGAGACCATACAGTTGGCCTGCATCAGGACAGGTCACAATTCAAATTAGTCATTTGAGTAGATTTTGGTTTCACTCTCATTTATGGACATTGCCTTTTAGTATCTTTAACCTAATTCTTCTGAGGAAGTGATTTGAAGCACTAAGGGAAAGAGTGGGTACAACAAAACAAAATCCAGAACACTGCATCTTAATTAGAAGTTTGAACTTAAGCACTGGGGGAGGAAGGTGAATGAGCAAATGTGTCAGGTGACCATAAGGTGAAAAAGAACATTCAAAATGCTTTAAAGGAAGGTGATTTCCACAACAATGGGGATCAGGGTTTAAGAAATTGCCTAACACCTGAAGACTTGAATGGCATGTATACTTCAGGAGCCAGAGATAGTATCTGAGGCCCATATGCAGCCTGAGAAGGCAGGCTACAGGTTTGGCATGGCCAAGAAGTAGGAGCTGTGTAGCAGAAGGTACCAATCGAATTCATATTAGGTGCATGTATGTATCTCTTTCTGGCACCCTCTTTCTTCATCTAACTTTGTTCTTTTTCTTTCAAAACACTCACGGTTACTGGGCCTTGTGAGTTTAAGTTCTGCATTCAGTCATATGCCAGCTATTATTAACAGTGATAAATCCTGCCTGATATTTCTTGACGATCCACTGTAGTTAGCAGTCTGGCCAGGTTCCAGGGCCTCTTACCTCTGCTTATTGGTGTCTTAGAGCTCTTTATGCAGAAATGCAACTCTCAAGTGTAGACAGCCTAGAACCCAGCACAAGCCTAAGGTATCTCTGAGAGACTGTGGACCCCAAGAATTTGGTTGAGTTATTTCTGCAGGATCATGTGGCATTCCTGGTGCTGCTCTGGTTACTACTGCTGTCTAGTTCAGCATGGTTGTTACGGGCTGTGCCTAAAGTTGGCCTTGGTTCTACCAAGGAGTCAAGCTAGGCCTCTGAGGTCATAGAGTGCAACTTCCTCCATTTTATGTATTTGCATACTGAGGCCCAGATAGGTTACCGGTCATGGTCACAGAGCAAGTCAGTGGCTGCACTGGGGCGGAGCTTCATCTCCTCGGCTCTCCACTTGCTTCCGGCATTGCTACCTCATTGGTGTACCATATTTTAATGCAAAGAATGCACATGTTCTGCATTTGTTTTGCCAACTGTGCCCTTCCCCCTACACACAAGGCATTTCTGTAAGTGTGCTA